GAGCATCAAAGACCGACCTACACTCCTCAGCTTTGTGTGATCCCTTTTTGCATCGCCCACAAACATATGGTTCTTCATTCCTAGGACGAGGCCTAGCATCTGCATTGTTTGGGCAGTGACGTTTAATGTGTCCTGGCTCCCCGCAGGCAAAACACCCTTTAGCCTTACATTCCCCTTCTAACCCGCGAGGTCCCCTCTGCTGTATAGCCGCGGCCAGGAGAGCAGCCACTCCCGAGTTGGAGAGCGGCCCCCCTATCTCTCTGCATATCCTAATCCAGGCATTGAGGTCCTTGTTCTTATGAGGAGCTATCGCCGCCTTGCACTCCTTTGTACACTGTTCGAAAATCAGCTGCCTTACCAGCGGTCGAGCCACTCCCGGATCAGAAAATATCTTATCGGCAGCATCTTGCATTCGGGCCACAAAGTCAACAAATGGCTCTGTGGTACCCTGAATTATTTTTGAAAGACACAAGGAGGCTGTTCCAGCACCACTTACTTGCTTCCAGGCGCGGAGTCCTATGGCATTGATTTGCTCATAGACAGCGCCGGGGAACTGGGTCTGGTCATCAGCGTGCCGACCTTCTCCCATAAGCATTTCCTTGTTCCACCCCCGGTTTCCTCGATTGGCGTTTTTCTCAGCCTGCTCGGCAGAGAACTCTGCATACCAGGCTCGCCAATCCAGGTAACTGCCCGAGGGCAGACAGGCCTTTGCCAGCTGAATCCAGTCCGCGGGGGTGAGGGGCCCAGAAGACAGATTCTCCAGCATGGCAATGGTGTAAGGCGCAGTCGGCCCAAAGGTTGTAACTGCATTTTTAAGTTCTCTAATCTGCTTTATCTCAAAAGGCTCCCATACATTGCGTCCCTGGCCCATAGCTACTTGTACAGGAAATATCTCGTAGGGGCCACTATCTATCCCAGGTGGATGTACCTCATGAGACAAGCGTCCCCCCTGCCAAAGCCGCCTGTAAAAATACCGACCTGCCGGCGGCGGAGCATAAGACAGCGGCCGTGATTGGGCGGAAAATGGGGGCCCGTGCATCACTTCCTGTTCTGGCGAAGAGGAAGGGAGCTCCCGGGCGGCCGCCCCGCGGCGAGGGATCGCCTCCGGAAACGGCCCCCAAGGTGGGGCGGAAGGCTTCGCCTCCCTCTCGCGCCGGGGAGCGCTCAGGAGCTCTCTACTCCTCCGCAGACCAGGTTGAGCAGAGCGCAATTCGCGGGGCAACGCTGGAAAAGAACCCTGCGACTCCTTATTGAGCGATTTAGGCTCCTGACAGCTGGTCTCTTTGGCCTCCCTGCCATTAAACTTTCCCTCGTCCTCGGAGTCAGACGACTCCGAGGCTAGAGCCCCGTCCTCCTCCTTAGCATCCTTGTTCCCCTTGACAAACACCTCTCGGGAGCTCCCTGACTGGGCCTGCTCAGATACCCTGCGTACTTTTGTAAGCTCTTGAGAGCTTTCTCCACAACCACCCTCGCTCTTAGTGCCGCTACCTAACATGTTTCCCATCTTTTAATATGTTACTCACCGCGTGAGGCCCAAGGAATCCGCCACTTACGCGTGAGCCTGAGGGGAGTCTAAAAGCCCTGTAGGTGCGCGCCACCCAGAGCCCAGGCTTATCCCCAACTCACCTGTCTCGCAGCTCTGTACTGGAGCGTTGTCCACTTCCACGTCTCGGGGGTGATCAGTCCCCGGGCGGGCCTCCAAATGTCGATGTCCGCTCCCGGCCGGCAGGAAGGACACACGACACAGTCTGGTAGTGGACAACCTTTTCTTTTTATTTTCCTTCTCCGTACAGCCTGCCCTGGGTTCTCCCAGCTGAAGCCTCCTTTGGTCCGCTCCCCGCGGCTCCTTTTGTGCTTCAGCCTGCCCCAAAGCCTCTACCGGTCCGCTCTCCGCGGCTCCTTTTGGGCTTCTACTTCCGGGCTTCTATCTGGCTTCTTCTTCCGCCCAGGGGTGGCACCGGTATATATATGGGTACAGTGTCCAATCATGTTAAAGTAAGCAAGGCAAGCTGATTGGCTAACATCATCAGTTGCCAGGCAGACTATATTGTTGAGCGGGTTGTTTACGCGGTAAGCAGGAAACTAACATATTCGATGGGAGGGGTAATCTACCTCAGGCCTCACTCTTTACTACAGGCCTCACGTCCGCCAAGTGAGGCGACCGGGCTCGGGGCTGCGGCTCCCAACACCTTCCTTAAATAACTGGCCTACAGCCTAATAACATTGGCACCTATTTTAATTATAAACCTTGAAAGCATTTCCTCTTTTAATTACACTTTTTAAATTCCCAATTGAAGCTGGAAAGGTGCAAATTAACTTTGAGAATATAAAATTTGAAGTCACAATCCACTGGGAGAGAATTCACCCATGCCTTCATCAAATGAAAGCTGGTGGATAAAAATGCAGTTTGGAATTTACAGGTAAAAACAAATGGTCTTAGATGTTCCAATTGTATGTCTTGGTAAAGGCAGTGGCCGTCAAAACCTCTTGTTTTCTATTCCGCCCGCCTGGTTTCCCTCCTTCCTCATCTTCCTGGACTCCGAATGGGGATGACCTTAAGGCTTACTTCCCTGCCCTGGTTCTCAGCTGACTTCGCCCAGTCCTATGCTTAAACCTGTGCTCATGTTCCCGAATTGTAACCTGCCAGCTCCGCATGGCCATACACTGTCTGTGCCCACCTGTGCTACTCGTCACCTGGCAGTCCACTGTACATCTCCCATCCTGCCGGGAGCAGCACTCCCTTCTCGGCGTCTGAAACCTTTCCCAGGGTGAACGCTCTGCAGTCACCCTCGACCTCCCTTACCTTCCACATCCAAACCCCCTCCAGCATGTGACACCAGCTCTCTCTTTACAGCACATATGGACCAGGCCACCACCTCCTCTACCCCTCCCCACGCACCAACACCCCAAACACTGCCCTGTCTCAGCCATTATCTGTCATGTCTAACAGTCTTTGGATTGGTCTGTTTTGATCACCGCCAGCTGTAGTTTAATCCCCAAACAGCAAACGAAGTGGTTGTTTTATATTTAGTCTCTGTCATGTCATGTCTCTGCTCAGACCTCTATAAGGTTTCCCTTCTGGTTCGGAGAAAACTCCAGTCCTCACCAAGCCACACGAGGTCTTCGTGGTCTGGTTCCTGAGTCCCGGGGCCCCCTCTCCTGCTCCCCTTTTCCTGCAGCCATCCCCAGCCTCTGAGGTTTTCCTCAAGCTGGCCTGCAAGCACCCCCTCAGAGCTGCTTTCCTCACAGTTCCCCTGCTGGGGGCTGCTCTCCCAGACCTCTGGGCTCCCTTCTCTCAACTCTGGCTTATTTCATTCACCGTCCTGTATAAAACAGGAATTGACCGCCCCGGTCACTCTTGTCCTTGCTGACTTGGCTGGACGGCCCCTCGGGACACATCACCATCTGAAACCCACTTGTGTCCTGTGTGTTTGCTGCTTCCCCTCCCCGAGGGTAGGAGCTCCAGGAATGCACTCCCTCTGCCTGTTTAGTGCCTGCGCCCCATCCTGGAATCACGCCTGGGTGCTGCAAGCACTCAACAAGTACGACAAACAAATTCAAGTGGAATATTAGTAACAAAATGCAAACAATTTATAGCAGTAATGGCTACTGACAGAAGTACAAACAAAATGCCAGTAACTTAACACCTGGTAAGAGGACAAATTCACTTACACCACACAAAATCGATGACATAACCAACTAGCTTCTCTCTAGATAGGTAGGTGAGTAGACAGATACATTACTCACCAACCTATACTGTATACAGTGCATGGATAGATGTGTTTTCTCTATATGGATGCAGGCTATGTATATATTTATATGCTTATCTATAGGAACACGCAAATATTTTTATTGATCACTGAATATCCTGCTTAAGGTGTTCTGTAGATAACCTCGCACTTAACCTGTTACGAGTTTTGGGTTTTTAATATTTTGCAGTCTGGGACTGACCCCAAGTGCTGTACTCTGCACAACACCTCTAGCCCCATTGCAGTCCAGGTAATGCTGCCGCGCTCCTGTGCAATAGTGATAAGCAGGTATCTGAAAGGAACGCACTGAAGGAATGGATACAGTATGTAACTATAATATAAACTTGTACAAATGATTTATTTCCAAGACTTACAGCTCACTTCCCAAGTTCTTTTAGGTCCACCCACTTGAACCCATCCGCATGTATCGTATCTGTCGGCCTCACTTCACCCAGGGAGGCTGCCCTGACACGGGGATTCGGTCTCCCCCTATTTCCTCTACTCCTGGCCCACGTGACCCCAAGCATCTGCCTGAAGAAAGACCGCCCACTGTGGTTCTCAGATCTCCATGAAAACCAAAGCAGAGGAAAACACTAACTCATCCTGATTTAATTCATGCTTTCCCTAGAAACTCCAGTATTCAATTTTAAAGACTTATTTATATATGTGCTTGTCAACATTAATGGTCATTATTCACTTCGGTTATCCAGTTAGCAAGCAGGAATTAAGCGAGCTAGGCAAAACCATCTCCTAAATTCAAAATAGACTAGTCAAGCAATGTCCTTTCTGCATAGAAATCAAAAGATTTTTGAACTGCACATTATTAACTGCTACTTTACACATTGTTAGTGTAAAATATATAAGCCCAAAAAAAGATCCAAATAAGATATAAGGAGAGATGGTTTTGACTAAGAACATTAACTAGAAGTTACAACATTAGACCCAAAAAATTAAAAAGTGGTGGCTGATACACTGTCTGATGAGACTGTTCATCACAACTATAATGCAGAATGATCTGCAGCTCCCCTCAACAAGAATTCCATGGCAAAACTTCAGAATTACAATCCCTCCCTCAGACCCCTTCAATTCCACACCAATCAAATCCCATAAAAGCCTGATCTTAGCCGTGACCAGGCTTAACAAGGAGGTGTGTACATATAAGTACACTTTTGTGGGAATGTGCCCTGTGTTTTAGGAACCATAGCCCTCTCCAAGGTAAAGAAATAGCTTTGAATCAAATTGGCCGGTTACCTTAGACTTTGGAAGAACTTTACAACAGGAAGGTATTGAGGAAGGCATATTTCTTCCATAAGAAATCTGGTATAGCTCAAAAAAGGCTTCAGAAAATAAGCTTAAATCAATAAGAACTTCTACCTAAAAAGGAAGGAAGATATTTTAAGTTATAAAAATAAGTAGAGGAAAACCATAAACTTCTAAGATCTAACATTTCTGTAGGATGATTACAACGTGCTGTGAATTAACACTCACTAATTAATGAGTGAGCAGAGCTCCACATATTGGTGTGTATGCTGGTACCCAAGTACCATGGAGTAAAAACTAACAGGCATTTATTAGATGGCACTTATTTCACCAAAGGAAAACACACAAAGAGATAACAGTACTGCAAACATTTTTTAAATTATTGAATTTATCACTTTATTCCCAAGGCAATCTATGGTTTAAAACCAAAATAACAATAACATTCCTCATGTTCTTGAATGCTCTGTGAAACTCAAAAAAAAATCACTATATTAACTTCACAACATATAGACATAAAAAACTATAGTTTTCCCAACCATAATGAGTAAAGACATATACTTTCAATTTTAAAGACTTATCTATATATGTGCTTGTCAACATTAATGGACACTTCACATTTTACATGGCCTACCTGGAATACAACCTACCAGGAACATTGGCCAGGAAAAATGTTCACATTCATTCATTCATTGTTTCTTTCATTCATCTAACGTGTTTATCGAGCACTGCTTGGCACTAAGCCCTCTTGAAGGTCACATTCCGCTGCTGTGTATACTTAGCTAAATGTAGGTGAAGCATGAGGATACCCTCAGCCTGAGGCAGCAAGGGCACAGAGGGTGCTGAGAAAAAGCTGCTTGGAAGACTGGGACCAGGAAGTACTTTTGTGAGGAGAAGGCCCTCAAGAGAAGGGGTGGGGATGATGTCAGAGAGACAGACATGTGCATATTTGCTAAGCACGCCCCCGCAACCCCACCACCCTGCTCCAGTGCAGAGGCCACATGACAGAACAGCTGTGGGGTCTTAGAATGTTCCAGAAGCAGTCCACGTGGCTGGAGCGCAGGCTTCCAGAGCAGGACAGTTAGGAGGTGGGTACAAATGGGGGTCACAAAAGGTCACATAGAACATCCAGACTACAGTAGGGAATTTGTGTTTTACTTCCTACATGACATGAAGTTACTGGAGGATTTTCAAAAGGACCTTGACATGACTTATGTTTTGAAAACATCTAGTGATTTTATTAAAGAGAACAAAGAAGGGGGACATAAATATTGACACGGAATCAAACACACAATTGGGTGAAATAGATACAGATGATATAGATGATAGATACAGATATAGATGTAGATATACAGGTGTAGATGCAACATTTCAAAAGAAAAATCAATATGTCCTCAGCATTTCAATCCATCTTACTCTCTTTTCCATTTCAGGACTTGCTTAGGACTCTCAAGAGTGTAAAAAATAAAACAAAAGGAAGAAAAATTGGAAGAAATTCATGAAAATAAAACATAAATAGAAGAATACTCTGAATGGGAAAGAGAAGGTTGCTTATCTGTTGAGTTGCACATTGAACTTCCTGTCTAAGACATAATGGTCTCTAACCTCCCCATGGACATACAGCATGACGGCACTTAGGAGACACAGGAACTCTCTCAGGTTGTTAGATGACCACCTTTCTCATGGTTCCCTCCACTGAAACACTTGCCCTGATCTGTGTATAGTTAATCCTCTTTGGTCTTGGCTCTAAGATTCTAAGTCTGTGTACTGTCAAGGCTATGTCTGATTTCAGGGTATCAAGCCAATCAAACCATTTAGAACAGTAGTAGTGATGATAATGGATACAAAATTTTCAGAAGTAACCAACACTGCAAACACAAATAAGTCAGATGGCAAAAAGAGCCGGCTGTAAATCAACTCTGCATTCACACAAACACAGAACCATCAGTACTCTTCCTAGGAACATTTGATATGTTGAGAATGATAACTCTTTGAAGAGGTTGGCAGCTGATCATAAAGAGGATTTAACAGCTTTCCATGAGAGACACGAGCGCACCACAGACACTTAACAGCATGATCTACTGCTGTTTGATTTGTCAGAAACCATCACGGTTCATGATTTCCTGCCTCTGACTTCTCTCTTTTCCCACTCACTGACCCCAGTTTATTTCAGAAAGGTCAGGCACACTCTGCTCATGGGGGCTGTCCTTTCTTTCTCTTTATGATCTGTCAGCTGCCCTTCAGACTGCAACTGTCAAAACACTAAGCTGGTTTTTCAACACTACAACACCAGTAGGATCTCACCTCGACCGACCACACTCTGCTCCAAGCACTGTCAACAGACACCAGATCTAATCAGCTCATTCTCCCAATCAAAATCCTGTAATTAATCCCCCTCCTACCCAAGGCTCTAGAGTGCAGGGTACTGGTTTTCACTAGCTTTTAAACCACATGAGGACACAAACTACTGTCAAATGCTAACAAGCATCTGAAAGTGAACCCCAAAAATGCATGGGTTAAAAGCCCCTAGGTTCATAGATCGATGGTTTCTAGAGGTGGAGCCTTCAGAAAGTAATTAAGATTAGAGGTGGTCAAGAGGGTGGGACTGAGATTAGTGGGTTCAGAAGAAAAGGGACTTGAATCTGCACCTCCTGATCTCTCACCGTGTGACAACCCTCTGGCACGTGTCAATGTAGCACCAAGGTCCCCCCAGATGCAGCCCCTCAGTCTTGCATTCCCAGCCTCAGGCACTGTAAGAAATAAATTTATTTTCTTCTTACATTACCCAATCTTGGGTACTCTGGTGAAATAAACTAAAGCAGACTGACACAAGCCAATAAAAACAGTCACCTAACCAAAAGTCTTGTTCTAAACCCTCTCTCTGTGCCCCTCTGGACCTCCTCTCTGAATGTCATAGCTAATGTCATAGCAACTTCTCTGCACCTCTCTGTGACAGACAAGATTCCTCTCAGCCAATGCCAACTCCACAGTCTCCTCACACACATCACCACACAACCTCCACACTCTAGCTCTTTGCACTGTGGAATTCAAGTCGGATCCTTGGATTCGTGGCCCTTCGGTATTCCTCGTGTTATCTTCACCCTCTGGGCCCAGAACCTCCGTCCAGTAGAGCTGAACCACCACCACTCCTGTGCCAACGCTTTCTTGCTCTGTGTCTTCTACATTGTTCACCAACAATGCACCCTTTTCCTGTCTCCAGCTTGGGTAACCTGTACTCTCTTCAAGCTTATAATATTAGCAAAGCCACTGTCTTTCTTGCACACTCCCAGAGACAGGGCTTATCACGCTCATCTGCAAATGATCAAGCAACAGATCCACGCACTGCTGACTGGCGGACACATCCAGTTTCTCTTCCCAGTTTTCATCTCCTTATAAGCAAGTACCATGGTTTACATGTCTGAATCTCGAGGTACTAACATGTTGCTTCGAAATAGAGAGTCCGTGGTAAGTACTCTTTTAGAGTTAAATCAGTAAATATTTATCAGATTTTATATGTGGAAGTTCCACTAAACACTGAAGAGACTGTGGACAGTTGACACCTAATAAATGCTTGCAGTTTTTAAAGTCGACACAACCATTAATCACGGAATACCATGAATGTAAGTTTAGTTCTCAAGACAGTAGAGAGAATTAAAAGATGAGTCAAACATAGGCCTTAGCTTCAAGAACTGTGTGATCTCAAAGAGTGCCATTGAGAAACTGGGGGAAAAAAAGAGTTACACACAGTTTTAAGCGCTGACATTCAGAAGTAAGACAATTCTTAACAGTTAGTAACTCAGAGGGGCTAGAAATTTTCATGGTCAGTAATGAATTACTTATTAAGTCCTCTTAAGAAATTTTTTATTTATAAATAGCAACCCATGGACTATTTACACAAGCCTGAAGGGCTTGGATGGAGACAGCAGCTCAGAGGGAACTTGTGTTCCACTCATGGGAAACAGGAGGGGGTAGAGACAGATGGCATGCCCCAAAGGACAGAAAGAGGTGTCCTGGAGCCCGCTTGCTCCCCACCGCAAGGGCTCATGGGGCACCTCGGTCCCCAATGAGGAACCTGAAGTCAACCACAGCCAGAGTACTCACCCAGTGAAAATGACAAAACCCTCAATTAGCTTTGTGTTTTCTGAAGAATCCGCTGTGAAACATTTAGCAATATACAGATTACACCACGGAATGGGAGGCAAACTGTGATCTGATGGTCCAGAAATGTTTTAAGGGTTTGTTCCACCTCAATTTAAACTCCCCTGTCTTCTCAATGTTTAGTAAAGGGCACAACAGGAACCAAGGCCTTGAGTGAATACATGGTGGGCATTTACATGCGGGTAAAATAGGGAAGAGGGCTGAACTCCATACTGGATTGGAGGAGACACGGAAGAGGAAGAGACTTGGATACAGGGGAGGGAGAGATTCCGCTGGATTCTGGAACAATCCACGCACAAAGCAAAATCAACAGAAGTAGAGACTTGCAGCACAAGTGACCAGCAGGGGAGGCCGGGAGGATGAGCTGCTCCAGGCTCCCCTCCCTGTGGGGCTCGGGTATGGGACTGTGGTGACAGAAAACCCTGAGTGATGACTGCGTTGCATGATAGTTGTCTGCCTTACTAACTCAGTGGCCTAGCCACTGGCAATCCGTGGCACATCACCGTATGTGACACAGCCATTCGTCCCCCTCAACCTATTTCCCCTTTGCTCCAAAACACATTTATCCCGCCATTCTTGCCCTTTTCTGGAAATTCTTTCACTAGAGGGTCAGTTGTGCTATCGAGGCTGCCTCAATGTCCTCAGTCAATTCAAAATGTTTACCTTTCACAGTTACTGTAACTTTGAGGAAGGACCAGATGATGCGATACCAGATCTGGTGAATAAGGTGGGTAAGGATGCATCCTAATGTTTTTACGAGCCCAGAACCGCCCCATTAGACGGCACTTGGCAGCAGCATTCGCCAAATTTTGGACCATAGCTCGTAAAGACCCTCACGAAAGAGGACTTCCTGAACTGCTTCAGAAAGTGGCGAGAATGATGGGCTAAGTGTGTTCAAAGGGAGGAGGAGGATTTTGAGGGGATTAACGTCGATGTGTCTTTTATTATAACAAGTGTTTAATTTCAACATTCACTGTAGTTTTTGATCCCCCTTGAACATAAAGACCATTAAGAATGAGTTCACAGAGCTCAGTTGGTGTCCATGAGGAGCAGTGCCTGCCAGCTGCCAGCCGTTGGGTGAACCTCGTTTGCGAGGCTACTCGCTCTCCAGTGGCCCCACTGTAACCCACTGATTGGCTGCCTCTTCGACATTGTTATGGTGGGTCACTGTTACATCTACACAACACTGTATTAACATCACTTATTATTCTAAGTACCAGAATCAAATTAACATACAACAATCTCCCTCATAGTTAATATCAAGTATCTTAACATACCTTGAGGATTCTTGCTTCTAGACTTCTGACTAGATCTTGGCAAATGCCAAAAACAAAATATTGATACAATGCAAGGAGAGGCAGAACCTATGAGGAGAAAAACACCCTTTTTTAAAAAAAAAATACATTTTATCAAGTTAATAGTAGTAATCAAATTTAGCTCAATATTAAATGTAGGAAATGTTATGTAAACATACATAACATGATTGAGTTTCCATGTTGGCAGTGTAACCTGTTTGGTGTAAGTGAAATGATCTGTTTGGCATATGCTGCATAATTTTATCAGATTAAGATGTTATCAGAGACTTACAGTGCCAACTAGATGCCGTTTAGTAAACCAGACCTAGGTTTAACATCCCTTTAGGCATGGAAAAGTTCAAATCCAATTAATTATTTTCTTGAAAAAATTAACAGAATGTATGAGGCCTGTGGAAAAAATGCTTGAGCAAATGAGCTATCAAATAAATGCAAAGTCTAAAACAAAAGAACTCACATTCGTGTCCCCTAGCAAGCTCTTACTGATTCATCTCAACGTCAGCTGCTTTTTAATTAGAATTTTTCTTTTGGCAAAAATCTATTTACAACATGCCTCTGATGTGTTGTGCACTGTTACATAAGAACAGAAAATATAACAAATCCCAGCCATTATATAGCATATATCCTAATTAAAACTCAGCCTCATTCTTCACATAATCTTTTCATTTTCCTAGAATTAAACCCAAAGCTCCATTTGCCATGAGGCCTTTGGCCAGAATAACGAAGGTTTACAGACTATCAAGTGTTTCGGTTGACCTAGCCACTACCTCTTGGGACGGAGGAGAATTTCGCCTTTGTATTTTCATTTTATAAAGACAGAGTTGAATCTAGAAAAACAAATGTGCCAGGAGAATAGAAAACAATATATGGGAAAAATAAAAAGAGAAGAAAATAAAGGCCCTGATCACAACTCAGACCTGAAGATCCATTCCCACAGCTGCACGGTACCCAGTGAGACAGACCGAGAAGGCTCGAGACCCTCTTGTTGATCCCACTGATCCCCGTGGCTCGAGGGCCCACAGCAAATTTTATGTTTGACAGAAGCCTCCTTAGCCACTGGCTTCTCCTGGGTTAATGTAACACAAACCGGAAACTTTACCCCTCCAAAGTTTGCTCTAATTATACGTAGGTGGTAATAGCCCAACTTTTTAAAAGGATTAAATAGTCTTAAATGACTTCAAACATAACACATTTTTCTACAATTATGCACTGCAAACATAAACACAAAAACTTTTTTCTACAATTCACTCAGCACAAAACCATAAGAGTTTGTGATTACCTTTGAGATTTAGTTTCTTTTCTTTAGTGAGAGATAAAAACACACACTTTATTGCTGCCAATTGCTTGATTATCAGAAAAAAAGTTCTCAATTTTTTATACTTTAGAGAGGGAAAGAAATCTCATTTCTTTTCCAATGCAGTGATATATATTATATATGAATATGAGCAGGCAGCTAAAGGTTACCTAGGGGACACAACCATTTTCTCAGTCCAGAAATGAATCCTTTACCAGGGAGAGAAGCACCTTTTTATCATTTTTTTAATAAACAACTTTCTTATCAAATCTGACCAATGTTAAAAGCATTTATCAACCCTTTCATTTTAACACATGGTTTTATAACTTAACAAATCATCTTGGTGCAGTAAACATTGCTAATATAGAGAACTGGATTTAAAAATAAACAACAAATATGCCAGAAAACGTACATGAAAACAAGTCAGAAAACAAGATGGAAAAAGAAGACTGTAATTGGGCTGGGGATTTAGCTCAGCGGCATAAGCACCTGCCTTGCAAGCAGGCAGTCGTGAGTTCGATCCCTGGTACCGATAAAAAAAAAAAAAAAAGACTGTAATTATGAAAGTTATGAAGGAAAAGTGAAGAAGCAGAAGAAAATGCAAAGAAGAATATCAAGAAGCAAACAGGAGGAGAAGATTCAAAAATAGACGCTAAGAGAAGGAAATCAGTAAAATAAGGAGAAAAATATAAAATGACCAATAGAGCACACTAATTTACTTTTTGAAGGCAACTGAATTCAAAGGTATGAGCTAGGCTGTGATTTCCTTCCCTTAGAAAAGAGAGCTGCATATTTGGGCTTGCGGATTTCCTGGAACGAGAAGATACACCTGCCTTTTCTCTTACAGTTGGAACTGGGACTTATCTCAGCATGGGAATACTCTCGCAGTTCAGCTTTTGATAAGAACGGAGTAACTTCATGCTGTGAGCTGCGAGCACACTACTGTCCTATGCTTCATGTCAATGCTGCCTCCTAGTCAGTCTCACCAAACGTCCTAGGAAAAGATGAAGCACAACTAAAAACAAGAACAAAACCCATTAGACTTCTAACTGTGTGGCCTTTCGACTGCCTTTGGACCCAAACTGACACCAAACAATGACATCAAAGCAAGATTACTAATGAATATGTTTTATTTTGAACTACAGAAAAGAATATAGAGATTTAAAAACTTTAAGTCAAAACTGAGCAAAATACCTTTAAAAAAACTTGAAAAGTACAAGGCAAGAAGGGAAAATAAATAGCACAGGGAATGAGGAGATGTTAGTTCCCAAATCACTTACTATTAGATTGTGCTTAACAAAGTGTAGCTCGCGGATAACGTAGTACAAGCTGCTGACCACAGAGCAGACGTCAGCCCTGAGGATATCTGAGAAAAGCTCGAGGCCTGGGAGGAGCTGGGTGACTTCATAATGCGCATAGCAACGTGCAGCTTTAGGATGTGGAAGCGTAGTTCGAAGCAAACCCTGGAAATCAAACAGTGAAACGAAGACTTATCAATTATATCCAGTGATGAAACAAAAATAAGTTTAGGTATTATTGCCTAGATTGCTGAGCATGTGCCAGCAGAGCGTACTCTGTAATAAACACACTTACTGTTAGGTGGTGGAGTTAGTATCATTATAGGTTCCAAATGTATTTAGCACTCAGGATGGGCTTCTTAAATTTTATGGTAGCGGTTCATTTACTATTTTCAAAGCAATTATCACATTCCTGTGTTGTACACTGCTGCTAGATTCTCTCTCCTCCTTCTCCCTTTTCTTTCCTTCCTTCCTTCCTTCCTTCCTTCCTTCCTTCCTTCCTTCCTTCCTTCCTTCCTTCCTTTCTCCCCTCCATTTTTTGAGACAGGGTCCCACTATGTAGTCCAGGCTGGCTGTGAACTCAGTACGCATCTCCAGCTGGCCTCGAGCTCACAGCCATGCTCCTTGCTCTGCCTCTCAGGGGCTGGGCTTACAGCGGGCGCCACTGCACCTGACTGCGGTTCTTTATAAACATGCCCTCACTTACTGAATGCTCACCATCGCTGGAAGGCAGGGTTAGTACCTCACAAGCTGTACAACTGAGGCTTAACCAATGAGCTTATCTGTGGCTACACAGTAAGAATGGCAGGAAATAAAGATTCAAAAACCTGTTCATTCACTGGATAAGTTGGGAAAATGCTAACTTGAAGCCTAAATTAGGCAGAGATAATTCTAAAATTTTAACTGTCTCAAATAGACCTATTTAATTTGAGCTATGTTTCCTGCATAGTTTGTATGACCAACTGAGTAGCAGGGAAACAAGATGAGCACATTGAAAGTGTTGGTTATCTTAAATAATTACCATATCTTAAGGATGAATGCATTGTTCAATCAAATTGCTTGTTAAGGATATAAGGTATCCTATTCTAAATATTGTGACTATACTGAAAATTTTAATTTCACTAATTAGCTTTAAAAACATAAAATCAATCAACAGGAAACCCACCACCTAATTTTACTTTTAGGTACAGCTCTACTAATGCAGCATTACATAAGATGCACATTAAACAGAAGCTCAACTTTTTAAAAACATCACATATCTTCTAGACTACAAGCCGCATTTTCTTCAAGAGCAGGAAGTTTGAGAAGGTAAAGGGTGCGGCTCAAGGAGAGGAAGTCGGATCACACTGCCTTTGCACTCTCGCCGCTTCTCCGCTTTCCTTTGAAGCTCAAGGAAGAGGTATTTGGAATATAAGAAAATTACAAGGTCTGGCCTTACATTCAGAGCGGGCTTCGCGTAGAATTTATCTACCCAGATTTCAGAAGCCATCAGCCTCCTCTGATACACAGAACAAGGATATCTGCCCATCAGTCAAAGTAAACAGAACCTTTAGCAGACTGCAAAGGCCCCTGGCTACATCCCCGAATCTCAGAACGCCTTATATTTCAGATAAAAGCTCCTTTCTTCTACAGAGCAGTCAAATCAAATCCTGAGAAACACAAACATTCTTCTGTAGTCTTCGACTTACTTTCATTATACATTTTGCATTATATAACCAAGCAAAACTTTATTAAGAGAGGGGGAACCCGAGACGACCATTTGGAGACAGGCACACTGGCTTCACGCCGGCCTTACTGAGGACAGGTGACTCAGTTTCCCTGTCTCTTATAGTTAAAGGAGAAAGCTGACTCTTGAGTAGTAAAGCGGAAGGTGCCATCAGGGAGGAAGCCAGACTGGCCTGTGACATTTAATCAGGTTTACAGGATTTGCCTGCCTGTGAGTTTTATGAACACGACAAACTACTTAGCGCACATGAATGGATGCTTGTGGTTTTACAGAAAATCACATACATAAAGCATTACCTGGAAGAGCAATGCAGACAGAATGCAACAGTTGATTCTCTTCTTAATGTTCACTGTTTTAATAAACCTAAGTATAAGAAAAAAAGATTAGTGGACAATTTTCCAAGGTACTTGTATATAAATGTCATTAGACACATATAAGATACAGAAGACATATATATATATATATATGCATATACATGTAATAAAATATGAGAAAAATACAAAGAAGAAAATTTAAAAATCACCTAAAATCCTATTATTTAAATATGACTCCTGGTAACATGTTGGTACATTTTCTAGATTTTTTTCTCTATGTAATTATACACAGAGAAACATACTAAAGTTACACAAAATTACACAATAGCAAGACTAAACACAGAAAGTGAGACGGTGTATGGCTTCTCCTACATAAGAAACCTGAAATATGAATGACTCTAATAAGGCAAGATGACAAAAAACAAGAAGACAGGTTTTTGGAAGGAGGATAAAGAAGATGGAATCAAGGGGCTGGAAGAGATTGTGATGTGCTATAAATGCTTGACTGACTGCCAAAACTCAGTGTCACTGCTCTGTACTTCAGACAGACAAAAAAGGGAGGAGGACAACCAGGCTCTGACACACCCTGTGTTATGAGTGATGCTAAAAGCTCTGGGCTGCATGAAAGAGGCCAGACACATCAAAGTCCATACAGTAACTCCACCCACAGGGAACACGAGACAGTAAAACTGTGGTGATAGAAATCAGAATGTAGCTGTCTCTGGCTGCAGAAGGGGAGGTTGGCTAAAAAGGGACAAGAAGGAACTTCCTGAGTTAACAGAAATGTTCCAAGTCCTAACAGCCACGGTGGCCACACAGATGTATGAAATTATTGAAAACCAGACTGTACAATAAAAATTGTTTATATTTTACTGTGTGAAAATTATATCTCAGTAAAAATATAATTTTTGGTGGAAAGACTAAAATTATACAATGAATACTATTTTTATAAGCAAATTTTCCACTTACAGACATAGTAAATACAGTATTTTGAAGTCCTTTAATATATTGCTATATGGGTATATCATAAAAATATCAACTCTATTTTTATTTTTTCCAATGCTGAAGGAAATATTGCTGAACTTGATTTTTTAGCCCTTGTACCATGAATTCTGCTGGAATAGAGATGAAACGTTGGTCAAAGGAGGTGTGTAAATGATTCCTCCCAAAAATGTGGCAATGTACGTTCTCACCAGTTGCTCACAACATTAAATCTTGCCATTAAAGTTTAAGATAATGTCTATTTACTATTCATTGTCTCCTTTTATTTCTACTTGAAGGTTTAAGTTTTCTTCATATGGATCTTGAAACTTGCATTTGCATTATGAATCACATTACTTTCTCAATCCCACTTAGACAAAAGCATCAAGCTTCACTGTGTTAATAACACCGACCATTGTCATTCGGTCCCTCTGAGTGCGTATTTCAGTGCAGTACTTCACAGTGGAAGAGTTTCCTCAACTCCAAGAGTAGCCCGAACAGCTCAAACCCTGTAGACCCACCATGCCTTGGACGTGGACTTCAGGCTGGGTAACCAGGAAAGTCTTTCTTTTGGTTGAAAGCACAACACAGGAACTTCGGAGGCTTGGAGCTGAGGAGCCCTCTGACAAGAATACTGTCATTCTCTTGAATGGTTTTACATTGTCTTGATATGTTTGATGCTACAGTATACGAAGTTATACTCAAAGATTTCAAGGAAAGAGACACTATGGTAAGTACTTTTATGTCGGGATACCTTGGGGTGAAACACTACCCTGCTTAAATGGTTATGTTTTGACCTGTGCTGCTTTGTTGTTATGTCCTCTTTTATCTCAATCTCCTTTTTTTATTATTACTTTTTTATTTTTATCTTTTTAAGGGGAAAAATAAATACAAATAGCAGGATACATTATAGTAACACACTCTGATTTCCTATTAACTTGATTTGAAACCCTGTATTGCTCTCACCATCTTGTTTTGACTGATTTTCCTTTATTCTGTTTTGCTTGATAGTACCAAGTTTGAGAGTATAGGCAACAACCGTGAAGACAATAAGATTCACTATGACGCCCATTCTGGTTGACTATTATCTTCTTTTGAAGTCCTGTAATGTCTCCGATGTTTTGGTTTTATTGGTTTTGTTCTTTACTGTTTTGTTCAATTTTATTATAACTGATGATATAGGCAATTCTTTTTAAGATAGCAAGAGGCAGTATGGTAACCATTGTTGATCACCTTGTATTTTGTTTTTACATTATGCATTATGTCCATTCTTTTGATTTGACTGACTCTGTTTTGTTATGTCACATTTGATTTTATTCTCTTCAAAAAAAGTAATAGGAACTGTGGGAGTAATAAAACCCAAAATGTGTAATTGTTATTGTAAAAAAGAGGAAAAGAAAGTGCTCTAGAGGATATAACTGAATGTATTAAGTGTATAAGATAGATAACCATATTAGTGAGTTTTGTTGGAACATTAAACAGAACTGTTTGCAGTCTCAATGTTTGAATGTCCACTTTATATGCTTTAATTTTGTAACTTGAACAACTATTTCCAAGATGACAATATAGTGATTTCCTACTGTTTTTTTTTCTGAAATTCTGTATAACTTGTACCCTTTTTCTGTTTTTTTTTTCTTTTTCTCCTTAAATAAAATTAAAAAAAGAAATAATGCTGTAACAGTTCCTTCCCAAGTTGTGAATTTTCCTCCCTGGACTTCTCGTCCCAATTGCCAAGCTCTACCATGCATGTGGGTGGCTAAGATCAATGTCCTTTCCAAGGAGTCCAGAAAATCAAACTTGAAAGATATTTAAAAGATCTTTTGCATTTAACACTATTTCATACAGTGGAAATTTCTTATTTTGCCTGCCCAAAAGATACTTTCTGAAAAATATGAAAAACTAAGTAGAAGTTGCTATTGTTGTTGCTTAATTGATCCTCAGCTTAAAGTTCAAGGGTGGAGCAAAACACACAATGTGTGTTGAAATTAAAAAAAAAAACTTACTGTAGTAAGAGGTGGTGTATATTTTTATGAGGTGCAGCTGGTGAACGCTGCTGTCAAATGCCATTCAATGGAAGGGGAGGCTTGTAAAACATGACAGTGAGTCCTACTCCACTTTAGTCACTGGATCCGGCACAGAGTGACTTCTGGTTCTCCCTCAAAGTCAAATGGCCGTAAAAGGGAAACATTTTGAACCGATTCAAAACATGAAGACAGTCACAACAGCACAATGCAGACACTCAGGAAAGAGGACTTCCAGAACTGCTTCAGAATGTGGCCAGAAGGATGGGATGAGTGTGGTGGAACCCGACAGAGGGTGTTATTTTGAAGGGGATTAATGGCAATGTGTTTTGCACTGCAACAAATTTTAAAAATTTTAAAAAAACACTACAGTTTGCTCTGCCTCATATAATGCAAGCTCCTACCCTCAGCACCCTTAGGTGAGCAAAATATATAACTAGACAGAGAAAGGATACCTGTACTACACCTCTATGCTTTTTAAATTTCTTATATTAACCAAATATTTGCAGTATTTGTGAGTACCAACTGTGTGGCCAGGCATGGTAGTGTATGCATGTGATCTCAGTACTTGGGAGGCTGAGACAGGAAGATCACTGTGATCTCCTGCCTCAGCTTTGCAGCCTGAGCTACAAAGTGAGTTCAAGCCCAGCCTCAACTGCACAGTGAAACTCTGTCTCAAAAAGACAAAAAACAAAAAAATCTCAGCCAAGCTTGGTGATAGACACCCTTCTATATATTACCTGTAGGCTCAGTTGTCTACATTCTAATCCCTAGAACCTGAGTGTGTGTGATCTTACATAATAGGGGAGGTTCTGCAGATGTAATTATGTTAAAGACCTTGAGATGAGGAGACTGTCCTGGATGATGGAGGTGGGTCACAATCCAAGAAGATGGAAAGATGGGAAAAAAGTTCAAAGAGAACAAGAGAGCAGGGTAGCAGGCTACAGGTCTTGATGACAGAAGATGCAGACATGCACCACGGAATTGAGGAGGACTCGGGAAGAGGGAAAAGGCCAGGAAACAAGCTCTCCCTTCTGGAGCCTTCAGAGGAAGCACAGTCCTGCCAACACCTGACTCCAGCTGTTCGGAACTTCGTAACTGTAAGATAATGAATTTGTGCCCGGGCTATGCTTGTAGCCCATTGACACAACGTTTGTTTAGCATATGGGAGATCCTGGGTTTTACCTCCAGCACCATACACACACAACAAAAATTATGTTTTAAGTACTAAGTTAGTGGAAACATCAATGGCAAAACATGGAAAACTAACACCACCATGTCCTCTCCAAATTTGCATGCTGAGGTCCCTAACCTTCGGTAACCTCACATGGGGACTGTACCAGAGGAAGGGTCTTTAAAGAGGAATGTAAATTAAAATGACTGGTTTTCCTTGTAGGAAAAGGAGATTAGGACAGACTGGTACAGACTTAGCATCAGGTGAGGACACAGAGAAAAGACACGAATCAAGGAGAGGCTTCGGAGGAAACCAAGCAGCTCACACTTTGATCTTGGCCACTCAGCCTCTAGAACTATGAAATACTCCAGGTCTGCTGTTTGAATCCCCATCTGGGGTGCTTTGGTATGGCCAGCACCTTAACAACAGCGTATCATATAATGTCGAGCACCACAGCTTATGGATGAGGATGATGAGGACACCAGGCTACTGGGACAATCCTGAATGCCTGCAAGATGCCAGGGTCTAAGTTATTATTCTTGCCCTTATACCAATTGTTTCTTCAGCTTGAAGTTACTGAATGCCACATCCGTGCCAGGCACTCAGGATACACTGTAAATAAAGTAAGGACCGTGCAGTTGTTCATACGTTAGGGGCAGGAAATGTGACGTGAAGAGAAGACAAACATGTCAGAAGTGTCTCGGTGAAGTAAAAGGCATCACCCTGTGTGATACCCATACACTGCCCAAGAATCCAGTGTGCACGTGACATGGCACCAGTGGGCACCCCAAAAGCCTCCTGGTAGCTAGGGACCAGGCCATTGTCTCTTCATACTCACTGTGCGATCTTCGCTGATATGACCGCACCTTGCAAACACCCCCAAATGCCAACTTTTGACAGAAACTCCTCACTGTAGTCTTTGAAGCCCACGGGTGAGTACTGGCTGGTGGCAGTGGGGAGGGAGGCACCCAACTCTCTCCAGGTATGCAGCACATCTGGTTTTCTGAATATGTCATCAAGAGCTTGACACCAACACTTCAAAGCAGCCCTAAGACAGAAACAGAGCATCTAGCAGAATGTTTCCATGCCAGTTGGGCTCTTTGGCTGCACAACCCTGAATGTGTGCATTTGTTAGAAAACATAAACAAAATATTCTGTGATATTAAAAATACATTTTCTGCATTCAGGTAAGAGGAAAAACCTGAAATGCTACGATCTTATCCCATCTATGCTAAAAGCAAATGCTAGGTGTTCCCATTTGCTACAGGGAGGTAGCCAAACGAGGCTTTCTTCCAAAAGGTCAAACAAGTACACCAGGGATACAGTCAGTGAACATACTGGAGAATAATTCTATGCCAGCTATAGCCCATAATGGTGTCTTCCAGCAGCATTTGGTACATAAAATGAAACAACAAAGTATTGGTATACAACTAAAAGTTATGGAAGACAATGTATTGTCATGAGTATTACACATTTTTTTCATAGAGAAAGGTTGACCTTATTCTACTGACTCCTAAAAAATCTACCTTTTCTTTCCTGCAAAGATGAGAAGACTTCCAAGTGCGTGCAAGGCCTGAACTTTAAGGCTTCTTTGATTGCTGGCTTGGAGAACATCTGTATTTTTAATCAAGTAAAAGAACAAATGTCAGTTCCAAGAAGAGTATTTCCTTTATATTTGCAAGAATATTTTAAAGTGCATTATTCCTTAACTGTGTAGACTGCAATATGAAATGTGCAAGTTAATAGTGCTTTCAAATGTCAGATAATATATACACCCAAGGCAGAGCAAACGATGTTGTTTGAATACAGAGGATGGGGAGATGGGGTCTATCACTCAGGAGACAAAAGGGCTCCATGCTGAGAGTGGAAAGGAGCCAGGCAGGTTGAGATGGGGAAAGGCTATATACATGCACCAGGGCACGATAGGTGTGATGGGAATATAGCTTTCCTGAGAGGGTGCGCTGGGGAGCAGAGGGAGGCAGTGTCCCAATTGTGAAGATCCTTAAATTTCAAGCAGAGAAATGTGGAGGTTACCCTGTAGCAAATGGGAAGGCCCAAAGAGTTTGTGTTTAGCCGAGATGGGATAAGATCACAGCAGTTGAGGATTTGCCTTTTACCTAAATGCAGAAAATGCATCTTTCACTTCACAGAATATTTTGTTTATGTTTTCTAACAAATGCACACATTCAGGGATGTGTGGCCAACCCTCAACTGCGTGGCAGTGGTTTCTAATGCTGGCAGTACTGTCCCTAAGAAGGCGCTTCAGAAGCACCTTCTGGTGTTGGTATAGTAGCAGCCCTGAGTGCTTAAATGGTCCCCAATGTACAAAAACCCCCCACAGTGAAGAAAAGAGTGAGAACCTATCTGTAATTCTCTACCAGCCAACTTCATTTTACACATAAAAAGAGGATGTTAGTGCATGATTTCTAAATGTAACCACAGTAGGACTTTGCTTTGTTCAAAACTTCACAAAGACTTACTCAGCACTACAGAAAAATCACGTTACCAAACTTAATGATGCTGATACTGTTTAAGTCACCAACACAGAGCTCCTGTGTCAGCTCCCATCTGGAGCTGTCATATTCATGTTGATTACAGGAAGCAGCATTTGACTGCTCCATAGCTTCTAAAGCCTGAGCATTTACACGCTAACCCACAGATTCTTTTATTATAAAGTGACACTGTCTTATTTATCTCCTATTTTATATATAGACCTACTGATTTTTTTTAAAAATGTATGTAGGAAGAATATATTAAATATAATTTTATTTCAGGCAATAAAGGGAGAATTATAAAACATTTCTTGCAAAAAGGGGGAAATTGGGTCTGGGAATACATTATTAAATTTGTAGAAAAGATAAATCAAGGAGAAAGACACAGACAACAGAATCCAGCCGACCAGAGCAAGGCACCAGTAGCGTTTCCACCCCACAGAGGGATTCACAATTAAAGAGAGATGGGCAGAAGTGTTGGTGACCTAGAATTTCACAGTGGTGACAGCCAGCTGGGAAAGCAGGTGTAGGAGGGGACTGGGACTAGCCGATCACTACTTCCAAAGGCCTGATGAATACATTCCATGTCCAAGCTCTTTCATCAGCTTGCGACCTGTCAGTGCCAGGTGGATTTCAACGCTCCTACAGAGGGCTGATTGCACGGGGGTACACAGGGAGTTAACCTTACCAATCGTTTGGTGATAAGAAGAAATTACCAATCCGAGCTGTGAATAGGGAAGTTTGCTTTTCTCCACTGAACTAAAAACTCTGAACTGCTCCTGAGAAAGGTCAGGGGGTGTTGACATGTGGATCTCTTCTATCCCCAGACAAAATTCCACTTTCCCAGAAGACAATTTTACACTGTTCACTCCTCCTTTCTCTCCTAAATTTGTGGAAACAAAATTAAAAACTTAAAATGGAGAATGCAGGGAAGTTGGTGGAAAGGGAAAAGGCAAAAGAAATGGAAGGGAGAAGGAGGGAAAGGTTTTGCATAGGACTTAGATTTATTGCAGTTTCGGGGGGCACTGCCCACTTAAACTTGGGTCCAGGATCATTTTTGAAGACCCTAGCGTTGCGTGGATGTGCTCTAAATTCGTGTTGTTTCATTAAGAGCTCGTCAAAGGGAAAGTCAGCCAGAAAGTTAATGCAAAGGTAACATTTTGCTTCTCCTGGGAACTGGCTGAATTTACACAGTTAGAGTTTGCCTTTTTTAAAAACAGCTTCCAGCAGTAAGATGTTAGTTTGCCTCTGAGGCAGAAACCTCAGGGATAGAAGCAACACATACATAGCCTGGGTCTAAATCAGAAAAAAGTAGGAAAAGCCTATGTTGGAGTACACACGGGAAAAAGAAAAGGAAAAAACGTGCTAGGGAAGCAGTCAAAATAGAGAAAGAAGCTAATACAAATTCTAAAGTCCACAGGCTGAGGAGTGGGGATAAGCCACTGAGAATAATTTGGTACCCGGCAAGATTCACAATCAGTAAAAATCATTCTTAGGAATTGTATTTGCTTCATTAATTTACACCTTTACCAATCACTTATATATTTAGTAACTTCAAGGATGTAGACTGTTAATTTAATATAATATGAATCTGCAGATAATACAACCAAAAACTGTATAGTTATAGAGAGTGTTTTGTCCAGGATAAAATGGGAGCTCAACAACAATGGCAAATAAACAAAACTCAGTCAGTGGGTTTTTAAAAATGGGCTAATTTCTAAAAGATTGATTCAGTGGAACTTAGCGTCTTATTTAAATATAAGTCAATCTATTTAAATTACTTTAAAATATGATTATTTTAAATATATTAAGTTTATTCTTACATTCTGACAAATTTTCATAATAAGGTACATAAAAATGCTATTGAGTTCAAAATTTTTAAATAACCTAAATATATACAATTCAGGATTTTTTTCTTGCCTAAATTTGAGAATATACTTCTTTGAGTTTACCATGCAACTATTCAAAAGTTCTCCCCTGACTGAATTCACAAATTAATAGCTGTTGAGAAGAGAGAAAAGAAACAGATGTAATATAACCAACCATACTGAACATTGTATTAAGCTAAAGGAAGGCTCTAAAATCATAATCTATGAAGGCTCTAAAATCATAAGCTATGGTATTAGCAAGAAAACAGATTGATGGTTCCTTTAAAATGTAGCCATTTCTTTGAGACTGAAAAAGGTGGTGTTTGGCAAAAGATTCTAGTTAACAAAGTATAACTCAACTCATCCACTAAGGAAAGCAACATAAAAACGTAACCCCACCCCTGCAAAGGAAACTATAAGAACATCAATGTATGACATTAAAAAATAATGAATATTATCATCTTAGCTACTTTTCTTGTTGCTGAGACAAAATACTCAACACCTAAAGTTAAGCGGGAAAAGGTTTTTATTTGGCTCAAAGTTTGTAGAGGTTTTAGTAGTTGGCTGGCTCCAAGGCAGGGTGGTGTGGCAGAGGAGAAACATTCATGTTGCGCAGAAGGTAGCAAACCAACAAGGGTCCTTAACAGCGTCTTTCTGCTCTCTTATTTTACCCAGGCTGCTTAGGGTGGGTAGCACTCACCCCCTTACGGCCTAGTGCCCTTGAGCCTAGCACCGTACCATGAATCAATTCCACTGTCACACACTCTAGATCCAGCCACCTCTAAAAGAGCCCCTGCTATGACCACATGAGGCTTTGGGGAACATCTAAACATAAGCCATAACAATTATCGTCACATCTTCTATCCTTAACTTGGCAGAAAGCGTAAAAGCAGGGGAGAAGGTGCCTTGGTTAGAATAAAACATCAAAGAGAGGTGATGAGATCCACCAGACAGGAGAGAGCAAGAGGTAGTGAGGGGTGGAGGGGCCAACAAACAAGAGGAAACACTCAGCAAAGTGTTGTCTCTCTGCAGGACAGGGACCTCACAAGACAAAGCTCAAGAGACAGAGGATGAGAATTTACCTTGTGTCTGTGCAAGCAGTAAAGAAAGTAACTTTTTGCTGTGTCGGAATGATCTGTTATGGTATTTGGACTTTTCCAAGGTCTCTCTAAAGCATCTCAAAGTATCTGTCACATCCACAGGTACACAGACAAGCTGCTTCGCTCGGTTGTATTCTGGAAGGAAAGGGACAGGGAATAGGAAGGATGAGTTGGCACTCTGAGCCCACTAGTCACAAACCTGCTTCTCATTCAGAGAATTTCTTGGTGCAGCCTAAAACTGCTAAATTCAAAGCCCCCAGACCTGCAGCAGGTGCTTCAACATTTCGATCATTTTTCCCCCTTTTCGGTATAATTGAAAGTCCTTTCAAGAAAAAACTTAGGTAAGTTTTGATTCTTATGAAATGCAAATAACTTTAGATCTTGCCAATTTTCCTTATAAAGCCTCTTGCTTTTTCTTTTGGTGATCATAAAAAATGAAATAATCTCCTCTTCAGCAGCCTCTTCAAAGCAAAGGTGCCTTGGGAACAAGAGGAAAGGAGGAAACAAAGGCTCCCGGAGACGGGCAACTGCTCTCTGAAGGGTAGGAAAAGACAGGCTTCTCAGACTCAGGTGCAGGGCAAGGCGGCTGGGGCGGGAGTGGACCTGCACTAACAGGAGAGATGGTGGGAGACAGGGTCGTGGGCCTCTGGGGACTGAGTCAGAGTTCTGGGAATTAGGCTGCGTACACACCGGGAAGTGGCCCGGGAGACACAGGAACGACACAGAGGTTTACTTTTTCTCCAAGGTGGACATGCAGAATGCGCCCTGTAAATGCCAAGGCCTTTGAGAGCATAGCAACTTACTAAGCAACAATACTGCAGGACACTGAGGTTCTGAGTGTTCACAGTGGAGCTGCAGAGGTGGGCTCTCTGACACAGGACTACTAAAGTCACACATGCAGGGAGCATAGGTGACATGGCCCAGTGAGGGAAAGATGGATGCAGGAACTCAGAGAGGCAGGAAAGAGGAGGATGAAAAACTCCGTGAGGGAGAAGACATACCAGCCGGGCCTTAGAGAACAGGCTAAGAGAACTTGGTAAGGAAGAAAGAGGCACAGAGTTTTAGGTAGCTAGAAAGGAACAGGCACAGCTAATGTTTCCTGAGGACTTGTCAGATGCTGTTCTAACTCATTCGCTGTGACTCACTCTATCCTAAAAACAACCGTAAGAGGCGGAGGTCTGTACCACTATTATCCTCATTTATTGAAGGGAAATAAGGGAGGGTCTGCTGCTTCCCCAGTGGCACAGAACTAGCAGGAAGAGCAGGAGGGTGACAAGGCCAATCTCGTGGACAGAGCTGTCTCCTGGGGTCCTGGAGCACTGCCTCCTGAAATAGAAGCACCCTTTTGGGTGGAAAACCACGGAGGAGTCTGAGCAGGATGCTGCCAGGAAGCGATGAGGATTTCTGGACACGTTAGCTGACGTCATATTCACATCTGACTGTCCCACAAGAAGGCTAGTGGCTCAGAGACTGCCGAGCTGCCACCCAGACACTATGTGATTTAACTCAACTGCAGATGGTAGCCATGGACTCCAGGGAGGCGGATGAAGAACGTTCCAACGTGAGAAGCAACAGGAATGGCTAGCTGGCTCTGCATTAAAGGAAACAGGGAGTCACCTCTTCCCCGCCCCATCCTTTTCAGGACTGACAACTTCCCACCCCACCTGAAAAGAAGACACGCGTGGAAGCCATCCACGCAGATCCTCTACCTCGGCCACCCAGTCGGGCCCTGTGCCCACCTGCACTTCCAGGCATTTCTCCAGCGTTCGCATCCCCCCTCTGCTCTGCTGAATCATCCCCAGTGGCGCATGTTCCTGTGATTCCTTCTATCATTAAAAATAAAAGAAGAAAAACATCCGCCGCCCCCCCCCCCGCCATCTTGACTCTAATTTCCCCTCAGGCCACCATCCCATTTCTCCACATCACTTTATACCAAAACTCCTGAAAAAACTTGGCTTCCCTCATAGTTTTCCATCCTCTCTTGAGGCCACTTAAATGAGGCTTCTTCTCATCTGGTTTAAAAAATTCTTCTCCAAGTCCTTAAAGCAACCCATGGGGTCCTCCATGAACTGGCTCCCTGTGACTGCTCAGTCCACTCCTCACCCACCGGTCTCTCCCTCGCTCCCTCCCACAAAGGCTTGCTCCTGCTCCACAGTCTTGGCAGCCATGGTTCATTGTGTTCTAGAACATTCTTCCCCCAGATACCCTATGTCTTCCACTTGACTTCTTGAGGCCGCTGCTTAACTGTTACCTTCTAAGTGAAGCCTTCCTTATCACCTTACTTAAAACTACAGCTTGCTCTCTTTAAAACTTCTCTGTGAAGCACTCAGTCTTTTCACACTGTGGTTTTAACGTGTTTATGGACTGGCTCCCATGATGGCAGGGATTCTGTCCATGACGTCACCTACTATATCCCGAGTATCCTCAGCAAAACCTGTTACATGGTGTGTGCTCAGCAAGTGTTTGTTAAATAAATGAATTGCTGGGGCAAGCTTCGTTAAGGATCTCTCCTATAAGCCCATCTCAGTTGCACCTGTGACAGTGCTCTTGTCCTCTAAACCCTGCCTAGGGCTACACAATGCTACGCAAGACACATCCCCTACTCCTCAGACCACACCCTCACGCACAATGCCTGGAAGACTGTAGAGTTCTCACATTTTTCAGTTTTTCTTGCAAGAATTCATGACCTTGGGTTTTTAGTCTTCCTCTCGTTGGAGAGTGAGATCAGGGACAGAAGATAAATGAGTACCTTAGTGTAGGTTGCTATAAGTAATCACTATAGGCTGGATGGCTTATATACAATGGTTTATTTCTCACGGAGCTGGTGGCTGGAGGTCTTAGACCATATGCCAACGCAGTCAGGCTCTAGAGAAGGTGCGCTCCCTCCCTGGCAGATTATTACCTATCAGCTGTTTTTTTCACTTGGCTGACATGGACCTCAAAAGCTCTCTTTTTTAAAAGGGCACTTGCGAGGTTAAATTGAGGCATGACCCAGACCACCAGGTCAGGGAAAAGTGAGGCAAAAAGCAAAGTTTATCTAACCAGGGTGCAAGCAGGTCAAGAGCGATAAGAGCACCTGCCCCAGCATTGGGCAGGACAAGGGGAATTTGCATAGGGGTGGGGGGATTGCAGGGCCTGAGTCTGAGGGAGCAGGGAGTCTTGGTGAGCCCGTATCTTGCAGGTGCAGCTGCGTAGAGCAGTTGCTCACTCGTCTCGTTTTGCAAGCTCTGGCTCCCGTTATCTCTGTGTCTCCGCAGCTGCAGGCTGCAGTCATGCTCGGGTCCTTTTTCTTTTCTGTCCAGGTGGGGCTGACAATGCTAACCTCATTCATGAGGCTATCACGCTCATGACCCAAATTCTCTCCAAAGACCCCATGTCCTGACACCAAACACTGAGGGTAAAAATGTCAACACACGAATTTTGAAAAGCCACAGACATTTGGCCCAGAGCAACAAGCAAAAAGAAGGGAGGAAGCTGAAAATTCCCACATAATAATAATAATATCCAGGCCTAGTTTTAAATAGCTGTTAAAATTGAGATGGTAACAGTTACTTCTGGGGCCTGTTATTTGAACATGTGTGAAGTATCTAGCATATGCCTGCTGTGGAGTAAACAAATAGATGTCACAAGTGCTAGTCATGTATTTTTAAAACTCAGGTATGTGCCACATTTATTTTGGTCAAGGACAGACTATACATATGATGTGGTCTCAAACTGGTATCATAGTCGTCTTAGTTTCTGTAAACACACTCTGATGTCCCCAAAATGACAAAAGTGCCTAAGAATGCATCCTATTGCTAAGCAATAGAAGTACTCAAGAGTTGACCACTCACAGATACAAAGCACTATGCCAGGCATGGAGGAAACAAAAACGAACAAAACAGACACAATCCTTGCTTTTACAATGTTCACATTATAGAGCAGAAACCCAAAAACTGAGCTGGGCATGGTAATGCACGCCAGGGGTCTCAGCACTCTGGGAGACTGAGGCAGAAGGATCTCAAGTCACAGCCCAGCCTGCGCAATTTAGAAAGATCTTGTCTTGGGGGCCGGGGGCTGGGGATTTCGCCCAGTGGCATAAGTGTCTGCCTTCCAAGTGTGTAGTCCTGAGTTCGATCCCCCGTACCAACAAAAAAAAAGATCTTATCTCAAAATAAAAAATAGAACAAGGTCTGGAGATTGCAACTCAGGACAAAGGCTCTGGCTTCAATCCCAAGTATCATCTAGGAGAAGGGAAGGGGGAGGGGAGAAAAGGGGAGGGAGAAGGGAAGGGCAGAGAGAGGGGAAGGGAAGGGAGAGGGGAAGGGGAGAGAGAGTAGATGAGGGAAAGGCAGAGGGAAGGGGAGAAAAACTCAACCAATGTTATTTATAATAAAAAAAATCATCATCAAATATCTGCTGCTGAATAACTCCACTTTGTGTTTTTCCTAAACCCCATTTCTTTTTTTTCAATTCCCCTGTAGTCTAATTAGGGTTCTGCCCATGGTTTGTGGCTGTCTACATCAGATAAATGATGCAAAGCAACAAGCAAGTCTCATTAGCTTCGGCGCCCTTCTTCTGCTCCCAAGGGGCCTCCTCTGATAGATGATAATCAAGAAGCTCTTCCAAAGGCACCGACACTACCTCGGGCTGTAGTAATGGTCTGAAGGCGGTCGTTACATGTAATATGTTATATGTTATATGTTTTGTTGAACCAAGTGTAGAAATGGAAACTGAAAAGGTGATGACTCCTGAGAGTTAGGTCCCCCGAGGAAGGCACTCACGGAGTGATTTGAAATGTGGTGCTGCTTGCTACACAATTGTTCAGATCAATCCAAATGCCCAGAGACACTTCTAACACACACTTGAGAACTCAATAACCCTGCCAGAGAATTTAAATACCAGAAAGGTCAAAACTCAAGGAATAGATCCCACGTAGAATGGAGAAAACAGTTCTAATAAAAGGCATAGCTAGGGTTACCTCCCCTACAGAGCTAAATAAGCAAGCAAGTTACTCATCAAGATAAGCATAATCTGTAAAATGAGGTATTCTCACGTTTCCAAATCCTACCGAGACTACACCAAATTACATATGCATTATTAAACAGTCGGGGGGAGAACAGGATGCCGTTAAATAATGAGAATGCCGAACGTTC